CAACGCGCGTCATCGCTGAATGTACGTCACCTTGACCTTAAGCAGGAGTCAAATCCGCAGCCCATGCTTCCGAGCAAATTCGCTGTCCGCTACGCTCATGTCCAATCTGCACATACCGTTGTTCATGCAGCAGAGAAATTTCAGCAAACAACATCCATTAGATCAAATCTTACGCCGCTGTATTATTTTTATGAGCTGAGACAACCATTGCGATTGGGTGCTCAACCGCCTACACCACAATATACTTTAGCAAGAAATCAAACAACTTCAGAAATGACCTCAAGAATTTTTGAATCACAAGAGTCGCGCGGATGTGAATAATCATTTAGAGAACCTCACCCACACAAGGCAAATCGGAGAACGTGGACAAACAACGGAGCTATGACTCACTATAAATCAAATGATAAGAAAAACTCGTCAAGCAAACACAACCGCTCCTCGGCTTACACAACCAGACGCGTGGAGGGTAAATACAAGGGTAAATACAACACTTTATAGCAGGCAAAACAGAAATGACCAGCCCTGACCTTTGAGAAGGTGGATTACGTAAGGCTTTCAACATAATGAGTATGGACATCATCTATTGACATTCTAACAACAATCTCTGTCAAGTTCATATCTTACAGCTCTCATGAGAAGTAATGAGCGGTGTAACTAAAAGAAATCACCCGCGGTGGGACGTGTGGATGTCCCACTCTCATCGGTGGACACTGGCATCAGGTTGTCGGTGATCGAAGACGTTGGTGCTGGTTTCGCCTTCTTCACTACAAGCTCGGATGCCTCCTTGCCAGGTGGAGTATTCGAACCCAATCGCACACCGGGAGTCAACCGTGAACTGGCCAATCTTCAAAAGCGATAATAAGACAGCTCAAAATAGCCACTATTCAAAATGAAGCTAAATAACCTTGTGGTGGGCGTAAGTACGCGCAGATGGTGGGCAGACGACGGCAAACGTATGCCAAGTTTATTCGAAGCCAATCGACGTGCTGCTGGTGAAAGCGTTGCCATTGATAGAGCGGAAGAACGAGCAGAGCCGAAACGCGGTGTTCTACTAAAATAAAAGAATGAAGATTGAGTTAAAATTTGCAAATGAAATGGACACATCCATTTGATGCCATATTGACGTACTGAGCCTTTTCAGCGGTCTCCATTGCAGCACGTCGTTTGTCGCGATACCGTTTTGCAATTGT